GGGGCGGGGGGAAGACCGGCCTGCGGGGGGCGGACACCGGCCTCGCCGCTGCCGCCGCCGCCTCGGAGAGATCGAGGGGTGGGGGGGTGGAGGAGACGGGGCTCTTCTCCCCCCCGCGAGTATCGCGGGTCCCCCTCTTGTAACCGTATAATTTGTTATATCTTAACAGCAGCTAGAATATTAATAGCAAAGCGCTGGAAAATGAAAGGTACACCGTCTATAAAGGAACTTAAACATAAAATCCTGGAAGTAGCAGAAATGGATAAATTAAACAATGGATTACAAAATAAATCTCAAGAGTGCTTCTGGGATAGATGGAAACCAATCTATGACTGGCTAAAGATGAGAAAGATAGAATAGAATTGAAACGAGGCTAGTTAAAAAATGAAAGATAATGTAATAAAAGTTTGATGATTGTGTATAAGACTGGATGAAGACTAAATTGAATTGAAATGGGACTAATGAAGGACAGGGAAAAACAGAAAATGTCAAAGATAAGAGAGGAATGTGATGTTATGGAGGGATTATATGATGTTATGTTATGCTATGTTGAAAAAAATGAAAATAAACTGTTAAAAAAAAGCCATGCAGCGCAGGGAGACCAGGCAACTTAGTTACACACACACACACACACACACACACACACACACACACACTTTCAAGTACTAAAACAGTCATGGGGGGTAAGGTGTGGGAAGGAACAAAATCACCTGGTTCCCTCACAGCACCTTTTGAAGTGATCTTATTCTTCTGTAAAATGACCGCTGCCCAGTGCCCACAGGTCGAACTCTTGGACACCATAATGTCTAGTTTGGCTCTCAGCCAAATGCAGCCCAATGTCTCTGGCCAGCCAGGTGTTGGGCAACCTCTGCAAGGGCCATCCCTATTTCCGCAGCTTCAAGCAACTTGGTTCCTTCCAACAGTCAAAAACATCGTGCCTGACCTTTGCTGTGTCATTCATTTGCTCGCTCTGTTTCAGCCTGTGGTGTATTCTTAAGCCGCTGACAATGCAGTCCTGAGCAGAGTTACATCCTTCTAAGCTCGCTGATTTCAGTGGACTTAGAAAGGGACTGCTTAGTATTGTGCTGTGAATAAACTCGGAAGAACAAAGGAAAGGCAGGCAAATATTGCTTGGGCTGGGAAACCCATCTCGAGTAGCTTGTCATTGTCCCCAGGCAGATTCTCCAAAATGCTTCACAAGAAGAAGAAGAAGAACTGACTTATGGCAACCCTATCTATGGGGCATCCCATGCAAGAGACAAGCAGAGGTGGCTTGCCATAGTTTTCCTCTGGGCAGCAACCCCAGTCTTCCTTGGTGATCCCCCATTCAAAAACTAACAATGGCGATACATGCTTAGCTTCCAAGTTCTGAGGAGCTCAGCCTAAGCTGGCCATTTTAGGCTACACAAACAAGGTACCAAACTGTGAAGAAATGCACTTTTCTCCCCTTTGGAGGTTTGAAATGAGCAAAACCTTCACTCGGCGTTTTAAAAGTTTTTTCTCCCCTTCTCTGGCCAGAGAACAGGCAGGAAGGGGGAAAGTCAGTTCAATTGCTTTCCAGACTTACCTCAGCCTACCTTCACACAAATGCTAACAGGTCTAGCTAGAGACAATTGGATGGACCAGTTTCCCCCCTCCTTCTCCAAGCAGGGAACAGAGTTTTGGAGGACTTTAGAGTAGAAAGCATCCAGGAAGAATCTCCAGGAAAAGCTTCTCTGACCTGGCCTGACCTGGTCAGTGGGTGGGGAAAGGAGAGGTGATAAAACTCAGGGGAGCAAAGAAGAAGGTCTCTTTGCTGATGAGTCCATCAGAGCAGACATAACTTTTAACTGAGGTCTGAAGGAGGTGACCGTTACCATGTGCTGGCCTGGACAGTCGGAGGAAGCTGCAAGGTACTGGTGACTCTGCAGAGATCACTAACATTCTAAGCCTGTCCTATACTTTAACATCTGATAGTGCATGTATAAAGTGAGGGACAGAGGAATTGCATTTTACCCATTTCTTTTGAATCCCTTGCTCAGTCTGGTGCTGTAAAAGTATGCCTGTGAACATTTTGTCATTAATAAATACTTTATAATTTTTGATGCTGGTAGTGGTTCTCTGTACCACATAAATCTCCACTGTCTTGGACAAGGCATTTTAAAAGAAGAGCCAGGGGAAGGCAGGCAGTTGGCCAGGGGCACACAAGGCAGTAAACAGTCCCTGTGGTGACCAGACGCTGGGCAGCAGGAGACACAGAGGCAAGGCCTCAGGACTTGGAAGGGAAGCTGGGCGTCCTGACCCTGCCAGTGGGTAATTCCTTACAAAGGCCAGGTGGTGGCAGTGGTTACCCAAGAGAGAAAGAAAAGCCTCTCCAGGTGTTGGGGAAATCCTTGGAGGGCAGAGTGGAACAGGGCCTGCAGGCCTGAGTTGGCCCATTCCGCCACACAAACTATTGGTTCTGAGAAGCCCTCCACTTTATTTCACAAGCTCCTTTGCGTTTGAAGCCTTAAGATGCTGAGGGGGAGTCGCCGCCAGGCTTCTAAATCTCCAGAATACATTTTCTCTCTCCACATTTCACAGATCAAGCAAAGCTGAAGCTCTCCATTCACCTTCCATCTCTACTAAGACCTAATGACAGCTCTGCCAAGCCAGGTGGAATGATGAACCTAAGTCAGGGGAACTGAGTGAGCCATAATATAAATGAAACTCAAAGATTCCTCCGAAGCACTTTAATCTGTCTCGGGCTCATGTCCTTGGAAATTTAATTTTGTCTTGGATAAAGATGAGTGAGCTATTGCAGACTGATGAGGCGACTCACCCACACTCCCTGGGGAACTTGCACACACAGCTTGTCTGCTGAACTTTCTCCCATGGTTGGCATTCAGGCTCCACTGGTTCTCTGGGACTCAGGCTCGGCTGGTTCACGCTGGGCACTGGAGTGAAAGAAGGAGCAGAAAATCTAGAATGGGATGGAAACGCAAAGGCAGCATTCTGCCCGCTACGCCTGCCGGAATTGTCTTGTGGGGGCTGTTATTCATGTCACTTTCCACCAGTGTTCATCATGGACCAAAGTAGTACTTGATTTCTGAGCCACAGAAATTAAACCGGGGCTGGGGCTGAGACTAGTCTGGGAAGCAACGTGGAAACCTGCGGCTGACATTTCTGAGGAGTCTTCTATTGCTATTCAGGGGGTGACGCAGAAAGCAACACGAAACTGATAAACCATGACATAAAAATGACAAACTGTACTACCCACTTTACACTTCAGAAACATGTACTTTGCAAAGTAGTCCTCCTACGATTTTAGACTGCTCATTCCCTGGAAACAACATCTGGCTTTTTAAAAAAGCAGCAATACCAGAAAGCCTGAGGCTCTGCACTCTGAAGAATCAACAACACCCAGTGTGGTGTAGTGGCTAAAGTGTCCGACTAGGATCTGGGCAGTCCAGGTTCGAATCCCTGCTCTGCCATGGAAGCTTGCTGGGTGACCTTGGGCCAGTCACACACTCTCTGCCTAACCTACCTTACAAGGCTGTTGTGAGGATAAAATGGAGGAAAGGAGAATTATGTAAGGTTGTCTGGGTCCCCACTGGGGAGAAAGGCAGGGTGTACATGAATTAAATAAATAATAATAAAACGGACAACGTTTTGGGAAAGGATATTTTAAACAACAGGTCCCAGGCCATACTCTGAAGGCACATGATGTAGCAACTTTGCTGAAACAAAGCAAGTCATGGTCTGGTCGGTGCCTAGATGGAAGGCCCCATGGGCACCCTTCACATATGTTGCACTATTCATTTAAAAAGCTTTTAAGAGGAGACTAGATACATTCATGGAGAACAGCAGTGCAGTCCTAAACAGATTTGGTGGTGGTAGAAAAGAGCAAGAGTCCAGTACACCTTAAAGACTAACAAAATTTGTGGCAGGGTATGAGCTTCCATGAGTCACTGCTCACTTCTTCAGATTCAGATTTAGTGGTGGGAAATGCTGTCAAATCACATCTGACCTATGGTGACCCCGTCGTGTTTTCAAGGCAAAAGACATTCAGAGGTGGTTTGCCATGGCCTGCCTCTGCCTAGCAACCCTGGACTTCCTTGATGGTCTCCCATCCAAACAGTGAACAGGGCAGACCCAGCTTAGCTTCTGAGACCTGACTGACTGCAGGCAGACCTGGGCCATCCAGGTCAGGGCAAAACAGATTTACAACCTTCAAAATCTACCGAAGTCAATGGGGCTTGGAAGAGTGCAATGTTGCTTAATACCGCACTGTAGGTCTATCAGCAGACTTTTAGTGGTGATGGCAAAAATGAAACCTTCAGGTTCCAAGGCACCACATCTCTGAAAACAGCAGTAAAGGGTAGGAAGCTTCTGTCTTTCTTCTGTGCTTGTGATTCTCCCAGAGGCATCAGTTGGCAACTGGGAGAAACAGACTGCTGCCCTGGATAGACCTTTAGTACTTTTATGTGGGATGGTGCTGCTACTGTTGGTGACAACCCTGGGATTCGATATAGCTAAAATAGCTGGTTGTCTATGTAATTCTCTTTGAAATTGAGTTCCATTATACAGCTGCTTATCCAGAAGGCGAGAAACTGAAACGTCTATATACCTAGGAAAGGTGTTATTCGGCTTCATGCTATTGTTGGTGACAACCCTGGGATTCAATATAGCTAAAATAGCTGGCTGTCTATGTAATTCTCTTTGGGTTCCATTATACAGCCGCTTATCCAGAAGACGAGAAACTGAAACGTCTATATACCTAGGAAAGGTGTTATTCGGCTTCAGGAGATTTTTCACTGGTCATCCTCTGCTTGATTTATGACTGCAGGAGGTCTTTGGACACTTTCATTGCATTTAAGCAAGGAGAATCCACTGGTTGGATTTATGTGCATACCTTGTTATCAGCGCCTGTGAGCGCAATTACTGTTATGTTTATCCGCATCTCTGTGTTGAAGTATGATACACCATGAGCACATATGATTATATTTGGAAGCACTGTATTTGTTTTGGGTTGTGGACCACCAACTCATTATAGATGTTTATTTGTCATTTAAACACTTACTTAATAGATCCTATACTCAGACATTTCAAGTGCATTTAATCTTTGGTGGTCTTCCTATGGCATTTTTCTGCTGTTTTTTACTTTAGTCTCATTCGGCAGCACTTTTCTGGCATTCTTATGTTGGGGGAGGCATTGGATGTAGTGAAGCTGTGTGCCTGACAGCCCTTAAATCACCCTCGTTAACTGGATTTCTGATTTGGGAGGGTTTGAAAGTTGCCTTTTCCCCAGAACATCCCTTGTACACTTTGGGGGCAGGGGAAAAAAATCAAAATATGGGCGATGAAACAAAAGCGAGAGATAAATGTACAGCATAGCTCTTCCGATGCTTGACAGCCTCATCAAACTTTGATGCCTGGCATCTTTATTGCCTTTAAATCAACTCCTGGGCCTGAATAGTCCCCCCTGAAACATGGGAGGGATTTTGATTTTGCCCAAAATTAATTTTCTGTCTGTCTCTTTATACTCCCCTGGAAAAGGAAGGCTGTTTGCAGCGAGGCACGACGGAATCTATTGATTCCTTTCACTGTGTCCTGCTGGAGTGAGGCCAATTATGTTTATGTTTAGTTTAGAACCTCTCACAGAAACCATTAATCGAGCATATCCATTTTAAATTTATGTTTTTAAGACATACAGCTTTTTTGTGCATCTCACTTTTATCTCCTCTTCCCCACAGTATTAGGACACAGACACAGACAGCTGTAAAAGGGTATTAGACAGATTCATGGAGGCTAGGTCTATCAGCTGCTACTAGCTGTGGTGACAAAGGAAACTGTTATGTTCAGAGGCAGCCAATCTCTGAATACCAGTGCCAAGAGGAGACATGAGGGGAAGGCCTCGGCATATAAACAAGCCCCTGTAAACAGGCTCTGGGCGGCTTACAAAAGACAGCAGAATGTGCCGAATTAGCATAAAACCATGCCCTGTTGTTGGCCGTCCAGAGGAACTGGTTGGCCATTGTGTGAGACAGGATGCTGGACTAGATGGACCACTGGTCTGATCCAGCAGGACTCTTCTTATGTCCCTAGTCAGGTACTTTGATGACCTTTCTCCCTCACATGGAGCATAATGGTCAGCATCTGGGACCTTCAGCTGAATTCAACGGCCAGCAGTACTAAAGGGGTGCAGGCCATGGCTCCGGGGCAGAGAAGCTGCTTTGCATGCTGGTTCCATCTCCAACATCACCAGTTAAAAGGATCAGGGAGTAGGTGATGTGAAAGACCTCTACTTGAGATCGTAGAGAGCTGTGGCCAGTAGTTATGGCCTACACAGTTAGAGACCAGGCCTAATTAATCCTCAGGTTTTTATATTATTACCCCCAGCCTGAACATCATGAAGCAGGAGAAAAAGGGCCATGCCCAAGTGCCAGTCCAGGAGAAGGCCCCCCAAATTCCTGCATGGCCCCAAATGGTGACTAGCTAGCCCTGTGATATTGAGGGTGGGTGGCTGGGTTAGCAGCAAGTGGCAAAAGGCGCAGCACGAGGTGAATCTGCCTTTCCATTGGATGGCTGTTCCATCAGTCAGCCAATCCGGCCTCAGGCTTCATTTGAAGCTGGACTGGGGCAAATCAATCCACGGTTCTAACAGCACCGAATGCCACTTATTCAAAAAGCTCTGCTTCTCATTGAATCCTATTTCTTCTGGCTTAATTCTGCTATCTGATGTATGCAGTCAAGATTATATTTATACCTACCAGTCCAAATCAGCAACACACAGAATGGAAGTTTACCAGATGTCATCCCATGAGATGAAATGCCCTCCTTGATCACAGTTCCTCCTTCTATCCTATGAAAAGTTCTTTTGACTCTGTTTTTTGTTCACACGTTGAAGCTCCTTCACTTATTTATTTATTATTGCATTTCTATCCCACCCTCCCCGTGAATGGGCTCAGGGCAGCTCACAAACAAGGGCAACCATGTGCCAATATAAAACATTAAAAACAGAATAAAAACAATCATAATTAACAATAATAAAGTGCTCAGTGATGTTCATCATTCAAATCGAATCAAGATGGTGACCTATAGATATTACCCAAGAGCCCGATTCAGCGGTACCAATCCATTGCGATACTGTGGCAAGATCTTTATAATGGGCCATCCCATTACCCAGTTATTACCACAAAATAGTTGTTGGTGGTGGTAGTGGTGGCTCCTAGTTGAAAGGCTGGCGGAAAAGCTCCGTCTTGCAGGCCCTGCGGAACTGTGAGAGGTCCCACAGGGCCCTGATCTCCTCTGGGAGCTCATTCCACCAGGTAGGAGCCATCACTGAAAAGGCCCTGGCCCTGGTCGCCGCAAGCCTGGCCTCCCTGGGGTCTGGGATCACTAATCGATGTTGAGCTCCCAACCATAGTGCTCTCTGGGGTATGTATGGGGAAAGGCGGTCCCTCAGGTAAGTCGCTGGGTTTAGTTTCAGCCGGCTCACTTAATGGCCATGCTGTACTCCATGGGTGACCAAACTTTTAATGTAAGAGCCACATAGAATAAATGTCAGATATTTGAGAGCTGTAAGATATGAACAATTACACACGTTTTTATTGGAAAATATGCAATTTTGCTATTTATTAACATTAAATGAGACTGCCAAAAATAAAAACAAAAGGGGTAAAAACAGATATTTATAATGATATTTAAGAAAGAGAGAAATGGAAAGAAACAATGTAACAGGTGGAAAGAAAGGGAGAGAAACAAAGAAAGGAAATAGATGTGGGAGGGAGGAGGAAGGCAGGAAGAGAGAGAGAAAGGAAGGAAGAGAGGGAGGAAGGGAGGGAGGGAGAAAGAGAAAACGGAAAAAAGGTGGAAAGAAAGCAAATAGATGGAGGGAGGGAGGGAGGGAGGGGGAAAGAGATACTGGCCGAACATTGACAAATTATTGGACTGAGTCTTTGTAAAAAATATATATTTCTATTGAAACTTTATTAAGCTGTAGGAATATAAATACAGGCATTAATATATATAACTATTATAAAGAGATTGACAGGATATTGTATAAATAGCGATTAATAAAATAGCACATGGAATTTTAAATAGCAGGGGGGGAAATGGTATTAGCAGAATTGATCCTTTCTGCGGCATTTCCTGGTCCTCCCAGCTATTCCTGTTCAATGCTGTGTGACTTGAAAAGACCCAAGTTGAGGGGGAGGTAGAGGGGACTATCCCAGGAGACACAGCATCCAGATCTGAAGCTTCTGATCAGCCGTTGGAGATTTGATTGGCTGTGCAGTTTTTTTAAAAAAACATTGCCTTGGCAGCAGGTGCCATCACAGTACAAGGATCTTCATTGTGTGAATGAAGGTAAGCCACCATGGAGCCATTTGGTGGCTGGCTCTGCCTCCTGTAGCAGCTGTTTTGTGCCAGCCATTTTGTGGCTGTACCATGCCATGTCGGGATTCCAAAAGTGCCTGCAGGACTAAAAAGGTTGGTATAAGCTGCTCTGGATAGGGATGGGCAGGAGGCACAAAAATGCTGATTGACTGGTGGTTTGAGGGCAAACCATGAACTGAACCATGAACCTAGTCGGGTTTTGCATATGGACCAAACCGGGTTCGTGACATTTGTGCCCAAAACAGCAGGCTGCCCCACAGCTCAGCTGTATCCAATCTGTTTCCTGGCTACTTGGCTGTTTTGGTGGCTTTTGCAGGGAGGAGAAAGCAGGTGTTTAGACCCCTGCTTTTTGCTCCCCACGAACGGCCCTAAATGTTCATAGAGGTTCGTGGCCAGGCTGCAGTTCGTGAACCATGAACCAGCCATTATTTGCCACGAACAAAGGTTCGTGAGACAGTTCATGGTCATTCATAGCTCTGGAATCCTACAGAATCGGCTGTGAAGGAACTGCCAAGTAAGAGCATAATAAATGAATGGCTAGTACCTGCAGGAAGATCAAAGAATCTTTATTCGCATGAAAGAAACATAACAGAACCTACCTCTTCTCCTGCACCGGATATTGTCGATGTCAGGAGACCACTTCAGGCTAGGCTGGCACAAGAGATGACTTTGCCCCTCCAGCTGCATGCCACCTGGGCATGACAGTCTCACTTTCTCACCAATTTCATACCAACGTTTCGCCGGGTCTCTTCTCATTCCTCCTTCTAACACAGGTAATATACAAGCCGTTTCTAAAAAAATAAAAAAGAGAAGCAAGCAAAAAAGTGAGTTTTCTATTCATATATAAGTAGCTATTTTCTCTACCTTTTGGATGGTTTATGTTTTTCTGTGTCAAGGGCTGGGTTTGTCCCTCACCTACCAAAGGCTATAGATGAATCATCCTGATTATGACTAGAGTAATTGATATCAGTAGCCCTTGAGAGCAGGGACAGTAGAATCACACCCCCTTTCCATAATAGTCTTGCTCCGGATTGCAAGATTAGATCTAATGGGTGGAAATTACAAGGGAGTCGTTACCGGCTAAATATCAGGAGAAACTTCCTAACTGTAAAAGTGGTTGAGCAGTGGAACAGATTGCCTCAGGAGGTGGTGGATGATCCTTCGCTGGACGTTTTCAAGCGAAGGCTGGATGACCATCTTTCGGGTTGTAGGTATGTTGTAGGTATGTAGGGCTATCTTTCAGCTATGCTCCTGCAGAGTGCAGGGGGTTGGACTAGATGACCTGCAAGGTCCCTTCCAACTCTAACATTCTACGAATCTATGTATCTATGTTTCTGTATTTTTGTTACACAAGGGCTCCTGCACCTGATGCATTGTGCCAATCATACATTCTTTGTGCCAATCATACACATCCTTGGTACCATTCATACACTCTTAGCCTAACCAACCTCACAGGGTTGTTTTGAGGATAAAATGGTGCAAATGAGAAAGCTGTAAGCTGCATTTGGTCCCCTCTGGGAAGAAAGGCAAAATGAAGTAAATAAATAAATACATGACAGACAGAAATTACAACAGGTGCATCTTTTCCTGATAAATGGCAGGTTGTACTCAACAGCCAGATGTATTGGAAAACATACTCTGGCATTCCATTTGTCCAATGATCCATTGGAAGCCTTCACCACATGTAGCAACAGAATTTCCTACAATTGCATATCCATCATTGCATGTGTAGATGATGCTTTTACCTACAGGATAAGATGAATCTGTATCCTAAAAAAAAAAAAGAGGGGGAAAAGAAAACTTGGGAATCAATTAATGGAAACGATCCCCCCATGTGTACTACCCCAAAGTCTTTTCACTGGAGTTACAAAGCAAATCAAGCAATTCTTTCTTCTTTCCTTAATTTGCAAGGTTATGTTACTGACACAAGGGTCTTGAATTCCTGAGCTCAGACTTTGTATTATGTTTACATGTTATATGAAATCCATGGATTTTTTTTAAAACATGGTTTTTTGATTTGGTGATCTTTTTTATCAGCGGCTTTGGGTTTGTATTTTTGGAGGATACAATCTGAATCACAAGGAAGAATAAAGGATGAGTTTTCTTTCAAGATAAGCCAAAGCCAATGTCATACAAAAACTGTATTACTAAGTAAATACTAATAGTATACTGTTAGTATTCGTGGAGTAAACCAAGTCGTACATATAGGTGAGACTTAGGGGAACATTATTTTCTGTTTCACCTACCTGAACATACCCATTTTCCAAGGGAGGAGGCGGCGGGCAGGATTCTGTACCAAGCCCAGACATATCGAAGCAGTGGGGTTCTATTGAACTATACAGCAAAATGTTTTAAAAGACCATCATTAATTTTTTCTGTAGTATTCAAGAGATTTATCACCCTTCATTCCACAGTGCCTCTCTTCTCATGGACATTTGTTCCCCAAGGCCATTACATTTCTATCACGTGCTTTATGAAGAATTAAAAATTTTATAACAAATTTTTATTTTACTTAAAGCTTGTTCTTACATGGAGTTCCCAGGAGTCTCCAACACAGGTTTATAACACATATCTTCATAAATGTTGCTGCATCTGATCCTCCCAGGCCTATTACTGGAGGGGACTTGGGGAAAGTGAATTTAATCTCAGTCCCTGCTCAGAGATGTTGCCCCCAGCCTTGCAGTAGTTTCAGAAGCTAATTCAGAAATCAGAAATGTCTACAGAGAGGAAAGGGGGCGATTTTGGCTGACTTCCCCCTCCTGCAGCAGACCTTTGACTTGTCTCCCACACTGTTCCAGGGGATCCTCTGACACCCCGAGGAGTAAGTGGGATTTGGGGCTGAAACAGGAAGGGGGGGCAGAGTAGTCAATGCTCCACTGATGGAAATCCTTCCATCAGCAGAAGGTTTTGGTGGGATACAGCCCAAAATTTATTTATAAAAGTGGAGAATCGAAACAAAACAAAAGGCCTGAACCCATACAATATAGTTTTATGGGAGGGGGGGGGAGTGATAACCCGTGCTGAAGATCTATGCCCTGAATGGTATAATCTAATCTTTCCTCCATTGCTAATCCTAGAAGCAATGTATTAGCAGATTCTACGCAAATGGCAGCAGACAATTTTAGGAAGCGGGGTATGGACTCTTGCAGTCCCATGCCATTATCTAAGTGGCTCTCTGAACAAACAAATGATTTACTAGGAATATAATGTATTAGTTTATATATTACTTTTTTGGAAACAAAGTACTGTGCTAAGTTTCTAAAATGAGATACAGTGCCTAGAAGTCCTGTACTGTCTGACTTGGAAACCCTCGTCCTTCATCTTAGAGCTATGACTCCTGCTGCAGTTCATCTAACAATAAACAGAGAGATACTCTGCACATACTGGATTCTTTTTTTAGCCAGAATTCAAAAGGCCCCTCCAGTCTGGTCAAATGCTTTCATCCATGCCCTGGAGATTTCAAGCTTCTCCTCTTTAAGTTTACCGTATTTTCCGGCGTATAAGACGCTGGGCGTATAAGACGACCCCCAACTTTTCAAGTTAAAATATAGAGTTTTCCAGTTAAAATATAGAGCTGTGCTGATGCTTCTGGCGTACCGGCGTATAAGACGACCCCCCACTTCTGAGAAGATTTCCCTGAGTTAAAAAGTAGTCTTATACGCAGGAAAATACGGTAGTTTCTTGTACGGCTTTGGCGAGTTCAGGAAAGCTTTGAAGAAGACCCCCTATGTAGGCCTTTGGGATCACACCAGCCATTATCATATTTCAGGAAATGAATCTTGGTATTGATGGGCTCTGGAGCCAAGATATTGTAAACCTAAATTAAGAATCTTCTGCCATTATGGGTGCTCCATTGCACCGCATATAAAGAGATGGAGGAGGGGTGGGACCATATCACTAATTATAACTTAACTCGGCAGAAAGTAGGATCCCATGACCCTAGATCTGCAACCATTGTATCAGATACATGATCAATGCAGGCCAGCCAATAAATACAACCAGAAAGTAGGATCCCATGACCCTAGATCTGCAACCATTGTATCAGATACATGATCAATGCAGGCCAGCCCTTAAATAGTTTATAATCCTATCAGTATATTGACAATACGTGATTCTGCTTCAGATAATTTCCTGTTTTTCCCCTCACCTCATTTAACTGGAGTTTTTGAATATTTTTGGTATAATTATTGTCCATAATTTTATTTGTTGATTATCCTTATAAAAATCCTTATAAAGATAGCACAGAAATAAAATCAAACAGCCCTATTGAACCATATGTTCTACATCATGCAGTGCCTCAACAGTGCAGTCCTACAAAGAGTTATGCCCTTCTAAGGCCATTGACTTCAGGTGACTAAGAAGGGTGCAGCTCTGTTTAGGGTTGCACTGTAAGTTATCTAAACCAACTTTGCAGTACAAACCTCAGAGAAAAAAGGGGAGTGTTACAGTGATCCAAACTTTGGTTGGAAACATTTCTGGGTTGTTTTTTTTCTTGTGTTGCAATATTTTTATTCACGGCATTGTAGGGTTGCCAAACCCCCCCCCCCGGTTTGCAAGGGGTCCCCCAACACCTACAGCCACCCATCTCTCTCCCTTTAAGTGTGTTTCCTCCCAAGCGTGAACTCCGCAAGCTTGCAGGGAAATGCCAGCTTCGTTCTTAAAAGGGAACCGCAGCTGCTCTTAAAGGGGAAACGCCAGCTGCCGGCTACTTTAAGTGCAGGGAACTGCTGTTTCTGGAGATCCGGCACACGGGCGGGTGGGGCAGACATCCCCAACTTGACGTCATCACGTTGGGGATGCCCCACCCCCTCCAGGAACTCCCCCAAAGTCCCCCGCTGGGGGTGGAAGATGGACTTGGCAACACTACGGCACTGTGAAATTTTCTCAGTTTTAATTAAATGAAATTACCATGCAAATTTCATATACTGGTCTGGGAAGAATGTTATTAGAATCCAGTTGGATATGACATTTCCAAACAAGTACTTAGTTCAGTGTCTATTTTGGTCTTTGAAGCAATATCAAAAGAATGCATTGTTAAAAGTTTTGATTACAGTTTAGTAACATTAAAATACATAAATTCAGGACCTATGAATACATGAAGCTACCTTATACCATGGGTCCATCAAAGTCAGTATTGCCTGCCCAGATTGGCAGCAGCTCTCCAGGGTCTCAAACAGATCTTTCACATCACCTACTGCCTGGTCCTTTGAACTGGAGATGCCAGGGATTGAACCTGTGTCCTTCTGCACACCAAGCAGATGCTCTACCACCGAGTCACAGCCCCTCCCCTATAATTCTATATTTTCTCTCGACACAATCTCTTTACCGAAAATGCTGCAACTCCTCATCCTCACACTGACGGTTTTCAGTCGCTTCTCCAATGCAAGACCTTCCGCCACCACTGGGATTTGGATTATTACAGCTTCTACTTCTTGATTTCCTCCCTCCTGCACAAGAGCTCCAAGAAGACCAGCAGCTCCAACCACCATCAATGACTCCTGCATATTGCCAGGGGAGGACAGGGATCATCTTACAATAGATCAGGCAGTGCACACAATGCAACCACTAGGTATTTAAGTCCTGAGGTGGCAACGACAGTCTCTCCCAGTTGAGGGTAGGTCTTCAAGTATTTGGAACCCATCAGGGGCAGCTAAAATGCTGTCTTGTCCCCAAGCTTCAGAATGGTCCCAGCCACTTCTCTCCCCCCCCCCACATTGTCCACACACACACCCCTCTCAGCTAATCCATAAACACTTTGGAAGAGTCAGTATGGAAGGGATCTCAGCTAATGGGAAGTATTTGAGGATTATGGGGCAAATGGAAATGAAACCAGCAATCTTTCGAAATTTGTAAAATTTGTGAGTTCATCAGCTGTGGGGAAAGTGTTGAAGGCAAACATATTTAGATATCCCCTGACAAAGCTGAGTGTGGAATGCATAGGGGCTTTAAAAAAAAGTTTCATTTCAATAAGTTTTCACTTCACCCCTGCACCACTGGCATTTGGCATCGCCTTCTTTGGTTTGTTTTGGGTACTGGTCGAATGCTTCCTCCTGTTCCATGCAGTTCTGAATAAAGTTTTCTCAAATACACCTGTCAGGGATTTTGACTAAGGAACAGGGATGGAAGAGCAGGCAGGTGGAGAAAAAGGAGACAAGGAGTAGTACAGGGCAGGACATGCTGACTGGAACAACAGCTAGAAGCAGGGGTGTGCAACTCATTTGTTATGAGGGCCGGATCTGACATAAATGAGACCTTGTTGGGCCGGGCCATGTGTGTCATAAAAGGTTATGCCAGGTAGTGGAGATATAAACTTTATAAAAGACACAGACAAACACAATTAAAGCTTTTTTAAACTTTAAATAACACATTTCCAGTGAGTTTGACACCCCTGATAGAGTGAAAAAGAATAGGAGAACCAATGACGGGAAAGCACACATTTGCCCTTGATATTAGGACCAATAAGATTTGCGGAAGTAAGCATGTCCCTCCCCTCATCCCCCCCCCAAATAGCAAGTTATTTCTGCAGTTGCTGCTGGTATCAGAAGGGGACAAGGAGAACCATTAACTGTTGGGGCACACCTGCAGCTACCCAGTATATTCAGTAACCACCACACACACACACACACTCTCTCTCTCTCTCTCTCTCTCTCTCTGTATATATATATATATATATACACACACAGACTACTGCATAAACTGCTTTACTCCAACTACTTCAACATATCACTATGTGGGGAAAGGAACTGGGCCTTTAAAAAACATACAAATTTCTGCAGCTGCTCAGGGCTGGGGTGTAAGAATAACATATTTCACTGTCTGTTTTCAAACCCCTAAAACCTTAAGAGACATGTCTTACCTGGCTGGTCTTTGACAAGAGTTCCCAGTTCGCAGGCTACTCCAAAAGTATCTGGCTTGCAGACACATAGGCACTGAGTCTCTACAATGACCGGCTGGCCACCATTTTGGCACGGATGACATCTGCAGGGATCACTCTCAGACATGTACTCTTCAATGGCTTGTTTCAAGTAGTGTCTTTTGACTGAGGCACAAGGGACTTCTTTTACCAACTCGTATAATGGTTTGATCTGTATGTGATAAATACATTCTGCTTAAATAGTTCAGACTGGAACATTATTTACTTGTTAGCTTAAAAAGCCCAGAACTGCTTATGGGTTAGGGCAGAATCTGGCAAAAAGTTATGTCCTTTTAAACCCCTTGACTTCAGATCCTTGGTACCAAACCACAGTTTGAAACACATTACAGTAAATTTGGTTTGAAAGATACTGACTGTGGCTGAGTTCAGACTGGCAGTTTGGCCGGATAGAGGCACGTTTTACAAACACATTAAAGGGGCCGGTTCACACAGCCGCAGCTGTCAGGCGTTCCCCAGCCGTACTCAACTCGTCCTATGATGATTCCCTACCACGTTAAAAAAACACCAGGTGAAAGCTGTAGCAAACCATGGAGGGCTGTCCAATTCCCCCAGAGCCAGCAATAGAATACACGTTTGTAGCAAAGTATTATTTTATTGAAGCCATGATGAAACTGGAACAAGTTCACTGTTTAGAATACTTGGGACGGTCAGAGCAGGGGATAGTAAAGCAAATTCAAACCGACAATAACTAATAGACTTGGTTCCCGCTCATGTGGGTGGATTCTCAGATTCGCGCTCATAGTCTGAGAAGCAACGGTTTCCTAAAAGATAAACAATTAGCTCTTCTCACACTCTAGTTCATTATAGCCTAAGCGAAGCCGTCTCTTCCCCGCACCTGTGACCTTGCAGATAAGCATGTTTCAAAGCTGTACTAGCGTTCATAGAAAGGAATGCATGAGACAAGCAAACCTGCAAATCATAATACTAGGAAGCATGCGCGTATGGAGATGTCATGGGAAAGAGGGGGGGGGTTTCCATACAGGGTAGTTACAAACAGCACAGAGTTCTTTGGCAGCTGGCTGACACGGGCACATTGATCCCACTTCCCAGAAGTGTGCACTCTAAAATCCACAAACAAGCCACATTGCTGCGGTGTGCCTATGTGCATAGGCGCATGTCGCCGAAGTGAAACAAAGCCGCTTACAGCCACGCCACGCCAACGCAGTGTGAATGCTCCCTTGCGCCTCCTCCCTGGTATGCTCCCTCCCACATCAGTAGGTGCAGTGCAGCCGGGAATCCCCGGCACAACTTGGTCCTGGTCTTTTTGCCCTGCCTCCCTCGTGCTTCATACTACCAGTCTGTCCTCAGCCTGTGTCTGTACATCCAGCTGATGTATAAGAGATATTTGGCATCAGCTAGACAAAAAGCATTTCCCGAAGAATGCTGATGTGAGGGAGCAGACAGCTATTTATTTATTTACTTCATTTATACCCCTCTTTTCTCCCCAGTGGCTTACAACATTCTCTTCTTCTCTAGGCCTGTGAGGTAGATTCAGGTGGGGGTAGCCGTGTTGGTCTGAAGAAACAGAGCAAAGTCTGAGTCTAGTGGCACCTTTAAGACCAACAAAGTCTAATGCACACGGAAGCTTATTCCCAGAATTAAACTTCGTTGGTCTTAAAGGTGCCACGAGACTCAAACTTTGTCCCTGTGAAGCAGGTTAGGCTGAGAGTGTGTGACTGGCCCAAGGTCACCCAGCAAGCTTCCATGGCAGAGTGGGGATTTGAACCTGGAGTCTCCCAGATTCTAGCTTAGCACCCTTAACCACTGTCCCACAATGGCTCTTAAAGCTTAATTAAAGCCATGTGGGCCACCAATTCAAATTGGAAGGGAGGCGGGATTTAAAAAATGGGAGGGGGGCGAATCTGTGCAGGGAACTATAATGTTATTCTGTGAAGCTGTAACTTAACAGAATCTGCCAGTGCGGGGTGCACAGCCTGATGTCTTGAAATTTCCTCATGTACTGCCTTAGATCTGAGTTGCTCGTATTCTGTAGAGTGACCAGAACTCAGTGAGAACCGGGTTTGATTTCTCACTCCTCCACATGCAGCTGCTGGTGTGACCCTGGGTCAGTCACAGTTCTCTCAGAGCTGTTCTCTCAAGAGCAGTTCTGTCAGAGCTCTCTCAGCCCTACCTACCTCACAGGGTGTCTGTTGCAGAGAGAGGAAGGGAAAGGAGATTGTGAGCTGCTCTGAGACTCCGAGTGAAGGGCAGGGTATAAATCTAATCTCTTCTCTCTGTCTCTTTAAGTTCCTTTTACCATCAATATAGAGATGCCAGGCCATTGGCCAACATTGGTAGGACCTTTAGGGGTATGGCCTGGGGGAAGAAATGATGTTGCATGTTGCATGATGTCACATCCCAGAAAAAAAGACATAAGTACCATGCAGTTTTTAGGGACAGCCAGAGCATCCCCTGATACACTAATGTCACATCTGGGTTCTTCACCCTGATGTGACTCACAAGTTGTGTGACACCATTTCTCCTGCAGGTCTGGGGACTGAGGGCAGGCCCACTAGCAGGAGCCAGAAGTGGGGCCCTGGCAACCCTACATCAACAGTGTAAAGTACTGAGTAACAAACAGCATTTTTAGAAAATCCCAAAGTGGGCTAAACTAACTGGGGCAAGTAAACAAAACGAGATGGAACCAAAGGGGCCTTCGGGATGGAGCCCAATCAGCCTCTGAATCAAGGGCGTCACTGATCTGGGTGGCAAAGGCTGCAGAGAAAGTAGTTGTAACAGCGCCAAGACATAGACAGGGTTGATGAGCTGAAACACGCAGGCCCATAAGTCCACCGTTCCCCCACGCCCCACCCCAGTTGAAAGCTCTCCAACTTCCCCTTAGAACATCCAATTTATCCTTTCTACACTTCAAAGAAGCTGGTTTAATCAAAGAAATAACACATAGCCTTACTTTTTGCTTGATGACTCTGGGATAATCGATCACTGATCTAGCCCATGAGGAATACTGTTCACTGTTTCCAGCCGGATCCCCAAAGTCCAAGGAGTACAGGGCCTGTATAGCTGCTGCACTTCCCCCCTCAACCACAAGATTCAGTTTAATCTTCTTGTTGCTGTCACCTTGGAAGAGCATGTGGAGGAAAGCACCGACAAATAAAGCATGTTATATCTGTCCGATAAAGACGACACAGCTTGTACAAATGGCTTAGCTGGGATAGGCGACATCCGTCAAGGGTCTGGTTTTGGCCTGGGCAGAGATTCAGTTGATGGTTCCTATACAAAATGTATGGTAGCAACTGACAAATGGCAGTGTCCTCCTCCAGAGTATGAGTCATTTAAGTAGCATGAGGCTGTTTAGATTCCAGAAGTTTCCAGGTGTGCTGGATGGAGCACTTGGGCATAGGGGTGTGATTATCAGCAACCCAGCTTCAGGTTGCAGAGAGAATAACAGTGCGAGGGTAGCTTCACTTCACATTGTGTTGCTTTTCTAAGTATAACTTTATGTCTGTACTCATAAGAACATAAAAGAAGCCTTGCTGGATTATCCATCCAGTCCAACACCCTGTTATCATACAGTGGCCAAAATCCAGGTGCCACCAGGATGTCCAACAACGAGGCCACAACCCTGGAAGCCCTTCCATTGTGGCTCCCCAAGTACCAAGAATATCCCCCCAAGCATCACTGCCTCAGACATAGTGTTCTATCTATGGCTAATAGCCACTGATGGAACTCTGCTCTCTATGTTTATCCAATCCCCACTTGAAGCTATGCTTGTAGCTGCCACCACTTCCTGCGACAGTGAATTCCACATGTTAATTACTCTCTGGGTGAAGAGTACTTGCTTTAATCTGTTCTAAGCCTACTGTTCATTAATTTCACTGAGTACCCATAGAGTTCTTGTATTGTGAGAAACGGGGGGGAAAGTACTTCTTTCTCTGCCTTCTCTATCCCATGCATAATTTTGTAAACCGCTATCATCCCTAATCTCTTTAACCTTTCCTCACAGGGAAGGTGTTTCATCCCCTTAACCATTTCCGTTTACCTTTTCTGCACCTTTTCCAATGCTATAATGTTGTGTGTTTTTTTTGAGGTACAGTGACTCTAGGAATTAATGACATCCAAAACTTTCTATCATCAACAGCCTTCCTCGGGTCTTGCAAACTGAGGGCCCTCTTGGCTTCCTTGATCGAGTCCATCCACCTCATGTTAAGTCTTCCTCTTTTCCTGCTGCCTTCAACTTTTCCTAGCAGGGGCTGCGGTCACACGCAACAGTAGCCACGCAAGAGATACGGAAGACAAGCGGAGTTTCCGGTCGCGATCTCACCAGCACATCTGGGAAGCGTAGCGCTTCCGTGGCACAACTGAGGCTTCCTGCCGAAAAAGCGCAGCAAAAAACTAGTACCTTGGAGGTACTAGTTTCCAGAAACTGCGGGGCAAGGGCGGGCGTCTGATCGCGTTTCCGGTGGCATCCGGCGCCCGCCCATGTCCCCTTGCGGAAAAGGGGTTTTTTTTTCCCACGTCTCCGTGGATGCGCACACGCACCCAACGGAGCATGCGCATTCGTAGTGTACACAAAAAAAGAAAACCAGTTCGCCGCGCCGCGCGCTTCTTCATTGCGCGCAGGCGTGTGTTGTGATCGGCACCTCTCCCTTGCCATGGAACCTCCACAGTACCTCCACAGAACCTCCACAGTAGGTCTGATCGCTTTACTGCATGTTAGTTTGCCCCGGGGCAAACAGCCACACTTCTCCTCTGCAGTTTCCTGCCCGTGTGACAGGGGCCATTATTGTCTTTTCCGGTGGATCTTGTCTTCTCATGACGTGACCAACATACAATAGCCTCCGTTCAGTCATTTTTGCTTCTGGGAAGAATTCGGGCTTGACTTGACCTAGAACCCACTTATTTGTCTCTTTTGGCAGTCCACAATATTCCTAAAACTCTCCTCCAACACCACAACATTTCAAATGAATCTTTTCTACAAGTCGGCTTTCTTCACTGTCCCAACTTTCACATCCATACATAGTATATGGGGGGAATACTATGGCATGGTTTATCTTAATCTTGGCCTCTAGCAACACTTCCTTACACTTAATGATCTTTTCTAGTTCCTTCATGGCTGCCCTTCCCAGTCTCAATCTCCTTTTGATTTCTTGGTTGCAGTCTCCTAACACTCAGTACAATATGGGTTCTTGCCCTGCTATGGTTAATAGAAGCTCCAGGTGGTGATTTCTACCTAGGGCTGCCAAGTGGGGGCGGGTGGCGGGTAAACCCCCGCTTTGGAGGCCCGAATTCCACCGCCGTGGAATCGGGCCCCGGGGGGAACTCCGTCCCCCCAAGCGCAGCGTGGCTGCGTCACCAGAGGTGATGCAACCACACTGACCACGTTTGGGGCATGGCCCGGATCGTCGGAGGGAAAAACCTATGGTTTTCCCTCCGACGATTGTGGCCACGCCCTCAACGTGGTTGATGTCGCGCGTCACTTCTGGCGATGTGCTGGCGCGCACGCTTCTGGAGAGAGCTCCCAGAGCCCGGTGAGGCTCCCCCGCCTGTGAGGTTTTTTTTTACTTGGCAACCCTATTTCTACCATGAAAATGATGCAAAGAGGATAGAGACAAACATTCCCCCCTGCTGCTGTGAACATGCCCAGGTTCAAATCCCCCCCCCCTTCCTCTGTGGGTCTCATGATTTGGCCTTCAGAGACACTGGCTAGCAGCTTCCTTGTAATGTTGCTATCCTAGCTCTGCAGACTGGAGTGGTTGCCCAACTTGAGATATCCCACAAGAACTATGCTTTAGAGGGTAGTCTTGTTGGTCTTCAGTAAAACAGATTTGAGTCCAGGAGCACCTTAGAGTTTCTGGGTATAAGCTTTCAAGACGTCTGACCAGATGTCTGACAAAGGGAGCTCTGACTCTCAAAAGCTTATACACAGAAACTCTTATTGGTCCTAAGGGGCTACCAGACTCGAATTTAACAGCCTTGCTCAGGTCTTGCAAACTGAGGACCATGGCTTCCTTGCAAAATATACTTCAAGATGGAAGAAAGGTGAATCAAGTTAAATCAGTAGCCCCTCAAAACATCTCCCAAAGCCACTGCACCCTTGTATGCACATAGACACATTGCGCTTTTGCCACTCAGAAAGAGAACCCAGTTATAAACGGGAACCCCGGAGGAGGGCATGTTACTCTTTTTCTTCTATATCTATGGTTGCAACTTATCCCTGTAGTTCTGATAAACAGGGTTGATAAACCTCAAGGGGATAGATGGAGATCTACAGGGTTTGCAACTAGGCTTGCCAAGTCCCCCCGGGGGGCGGGGAAAACCCCGCCCCAGAGGCCCGTTCCCCGCCGCCGCCGGATCGGGCCCCGGGGGGAACTCCACCCCGACGTGCACGTCAGCAGGAGGTGATGCGGCCACGCCGGGTACGCTGGGGGTGGGGCCAGTGTTCATAAGAACATAAGAGATGCCAATGTTGGATCAGGCCAAAGGCCCATCCAGTCCAACACTCTGTATCACACAGTGGCCAGAAATACCAGTGCCATCAGGAGGTCCACCAGTGGGACCAGGACATCTGAAGCCATCCCACTGTTGACCCCCCCACAGTGCCATCAGGAGGTCCAGCAGTGGGACCTCCTGATGGCACTGGTATTTCTGGCCACTGTGTGTTCCCTCTAAGCTGAGTTAGTGTGAGCTAGCTCATAGTTTTTTAGCCCCCAGCTCACAGATTTTTGTCTTAGCCCAGGAAGGATGGCTCCAGAGCAAGCTAATTTATGCAGCAGCCAAATCGCTCACTCACAACTTTAATGCCAGTAACTCACAAAGTAGAATTTTTGCTCACAAGACTCCACAGCTTAAAGGGAACATTGGGTGGGGCCACAGTCATCCGAGGGAAAACTCTATGGTTTTCCCTCAGATGGTCGTGGCCCCGCCCCCAGCGTGCCCAGCGTCATCACGTCACTTCCTGGTTACTCCTAGTTACTCCTGGTTACTCCTGATCGACCTGGGAGTCCCCCGCTCCGGAACAAGGTGAGACTTGGCAACCCTATTTGCAACTGATCTCCAGGTGTCAGAGATCAGTTCACCTGGAGAAAATGGCTGCTTTGGAAGGTGGACCCTATGGCATTATACCATATTGAGGTCCCTCCCCTCCCCTCCCCAAACCTCACCCTCTCTAGGCTCCACCCCAAAATCTCCAGGCATTTCCCCACCCAGATCGCATGGGTGAAAAAGGGTGGGGGTGGGATAAAAAGCAGCACTGTTGGAAGTACTGCAGACATTTTAAACAGCCCACGACAGCGATTCAGAAGCACAAAGAAGAAGTGAAAACGGAATAAAGCAGTTTCTGTCAAGAACGGCTCAACCATGCTTTGCTAACGGATGGGAGTGGCTTTGTATGAAAAGGTAAATAAAATCCATTAGCAGCTGGTTGCTAAAATGGTTCTGGTCTGAAATGGCATAAGAAATCCATTAGACACCAGCTACTAAAATGGATTACAAAGGCAGTTTGAGAGGGGCCCATGGCATCAGACCCCACTGACATCCCTCCCTTTCACAAATCCTGCCCCCCCCTCAGGATCCACCCTCAAAATCTCCAGGTATTTCCCAACATGGAGCTGGCCCTGCTGATAAATGATAATGTGCACCTGCCAAACTTCCCTTTCCTGCTCAGCGATTAAATGACAGGAGCCCACCTTTTGTAAGAGGATCTCATCACTTTAGTGCAATGTCCATTTCATTGACATGATTGATGTAGCTGCTATTAATTAGCAGAAATAAGGGGTCATTTACCTGACGATTGCCGTAACAGGGATTCCAGTTTGTTGCATTCGATGGATATTTTCTCGATCATAAAAAGGATATTTAGGGATGATGAAACGCATCGATGCATGTCACTCATGCTCAGAGCTAGTAGGAGGAAAGAGATCCATTATTTTTGACTATGCGATGAAGGCTGAGTGCTCTACTGCCAGGGTTCCCCGAGAACTTCCTGCTAAATGGGACCCCAAGTGTTTCCTGAGACAGCCTGCTCGATGCTGCTACTTCAGCAGGACGAGTGCATATTCTACACTGTAGAATGCCTGAATAGTTATGTCACAGCAGGGACATCGCATTTGCATTTGAAGTCATCTGTGTACAAAACAGACAATTCGACCTACACAATTAAACTAGTTTTAACCTAATGTTTGTTGCTGCGTGTAGGAGAGCCACATCTGGTTTAGGAACCCTGCTGTGGTTCAGGCTGACCTAACACACCCTGGGACAGGGAGGACAATCTAGCAGGAAATACACAGTTCCCATTCATTCCGAAGGGGCTTGCACAGCAGAACTTACTTAAACTGTTGGTATCTCATACTGCTCTTGAGCTGGCTATCAATAAGCAAATACCAAAAGAAATGATGATACAAATAACATACATTCAGGTGGGTAGTAGGGTTGCCTCCCTCCAGGTGAGGCCTGGAGACCTCTCGCTTTTATAACTGATCTCCAGATGACAGAGATCAGCTTCCCTGGAGAAAATGGCTGCTCTGAAGGGTGGACTCCATGGCACTGTACCATGTTGAGGTGCCTCCCCTCCCCAAACCCCGCCCTCTCTTGGATCCACCCCCAAAGTCCCCAGGTATTTTCCAACCCCGAGCTGGCAACCCTAGGGGGTAGCCGTGTTGGTCTGAAGCAACAGAACAAAAGTTTGAGTTGAGTGGCACCTTTAAGTTTAATTCTGGGTATAAGCTTTCATGTCACTCGACTCAAACTTTGTACACATAATGTATGAATCATAAAACTAACAATAAGACCAAGTGTAAACACCACCCTAAAATGAAACGATCCAAAAACATTTTGAAGCAGAAATGTTTTATTTATTTATTTATATTTCTAGCCTGCCTCTAGAAGACACAAAGTCAAGTGCATGAGAGGGAGGAATAATAAAGGTCCTGGAAGAATATGAGCGGGTTTTGCCCGGTGCTTAAAGTTTAGTGGCAGGGCCTCAGAAGAAAATCTTAACAGAAAGGCAATCTTGAATGTATTTATTCATTTTTTTTTCATTTATATCCTGCTTTTCTCCACAATGGGGACCAAAAGCATTTTACACTGCTCTCCTCTCCTCTATTTTATCTTCACAGTAACCCTGTGAGGTAGGTTAGGCTGAGAGTAAGTGACTGGGCCAAGGTCACCCAGTGAGCTTTTTTGGCAGAGTTGGGATTCAAACCTGTGCCTCCCAGATCCTAGGGGTTTTTTTATATTTAAAAATATGAAAAATTTACATTAAAAATAACATCAACAATCCCCCGGGTTCCCCTCACCCCCCCCCATAATTAAAAAAAAGTTCATATAAACGACTTTATAAAACAACAAGGATCTAACTCAATTACTATAACTACACTCCACAGAACAGACTGTAGACCTAACATGAGGCTAATCAGAGATTTATCAGGTCCAAATTATCGGCCGTAGCAGGAATCACTGCTTGCGACTTCAGGTAGTCTAGGATTGGTGCCCAAGTATGAAACAGTCATGATTTATAGGTGGTATGTGTTTCTCGTAGGATTTTATCAGTCAATTTAGCAATTATAAAGCAGTCCCGTATTCTATTTTTCCAAGCTGAGCTAGAGGGATCCCTACTATCCTTCCACTTAGCCGCGATTTCCATCTTTGCTAAGGCAAGTAGTGTCAGGATCCTAGATCCTAGTCTGATACGCTCTCCACTACACCATGATGAGTCTCCCACCACACTAACTCTGGATGTAAGAGGTTCTTCAAGTGTATTTCCCATGGGATTGTACCCCTTGCACACCTGAATAGGCCTTCCCCAGCATTTCAAAAAGAATGGAATATTTTGGGTTTGCTTCATTTTTAGACATAAAAATCGAAGGCATTTTGGTTGCTCATGAGATGTTTTACTATTTAGAATGATTACTCCAGCCCATTACCTTTTGCTTTCATGTCATCTGTACCTATATGAAGCAGAGCTTTATATAGTCCTCCTAAAGATCCAGAGTGAAAGAAGTGTGTTCCAAAACGGTCAATTAATTTTCGGTATGCATTGTATTCATAGAATGCGGGGAGATTGGCGAGCTCTTTCCAGAAGTCCTCCGCAAGCGTTAGAAATTCTGGCTGATTATTGATGAACTGGGCAACTTCCACACTGTTTTCCAAAACCATAAGGCGCTCACTCTAGGAAGGGGAGGAAAAAATAAACAAATCAGGACACTGTTTTCATAGTGGCAGAAAAGTATGGATAAGAGGGGCTCCATAGCTGATATCTTCCTTTCTGACAAAAGAGCAGATTGATTACTGCTTTGTTTTCAGTGGTCAAGCATACCATTTTGATTGGAGTTCAGTGCCACCTGAGAGATCAGAAAGATTTTCAGGGTAGGAACTTTGGAGAGTCAAAGCTCCCTATCTGACAAAGGGACCTTTGACTCCTGAACTCTCATACCACCAAAATCCTGTTGGCTTCTAAGATGCTACTGGACTCAAATCAAGCTGTTCTTCTGCAGACCAACATGGCTACCCCTGGAAATGATACCATTTTTGTTGCTAATGGGCAAAAGAGTGGGGTTGTTCACCTACTGCTCATCACAGGTCCCCGTCACACGGGAGGATTGGCCCCGCAAGAGGGACAGATCGGGGGTGCATCAAACGGGCGTGATCACACCGCAACATCTGGGATATGGAGCGCACCCGTCCCCGATCCGTCCCTTCCGGCTGAAACCGAGCATCAACGCCCCCCCCCCTAGAAAACACTACTACCTACCAAGGGTGTAGACTTTCCAATTTCCCGGGGGGGGGCTGGGGCTGGGCCAGAGGCATTGCTTTGCTAGGAGCAAGGGTGGCTCCCGGGGGAGGCTGAGTACCTTCCTGAAAATTTCGGCGGGGGCTGAAGCCCCGCCGCCCCCACGAAGATTACGCCTATGCTACCTACCTGAAAATCTGCATCAAATGCGACCATGGGATTGCCGGCGCGCCCGTCTCCAGCAGCATGCGAGGCCCCCGACCAAACTGTGCAGGCGCACACATGCGCAGCAGGCTGCCTCACTGTCCATTCCGTGGCTTCCCCCCGGCATCTGATTGTGCCGGGGAGCAACTGCGCGGTGGCTTGGGGGATCTGTCTGATCCCGCCGCCACGCGTCTCTTTTGATGCGGCTCAGAAAAGCTGCGCTTTGGTCGTGTCTTTTCCCCCAGTGTGACCGGGGCCACAGTCTACCAAAGCATGAGTGGGGAGAAGGCAGGCCTGTTGCTGCACTCTAGAATTGCCAGGTCCCCCCGGGGGGCAGGGGTTTGACCTCTCGACGGGCCTCTTACCCACCAGCCCAGATCCGGCCGCCGGGGGAAGTGTGCATGCACACGAAAGCTTACACCCAGAATTAAGCTTTGATGGTCTTAAAGGGGCCACTGGACTCAAACTTTGTTCACTTGGAGAAGGAAAGAGAACGTCAAAATATTTACCTGTGACTCGCCTGCAGAATTTGTGTTGGTTTTAAAGTAATTGCTTGAGCTTCCAAATCCCTGGTTCACATTGTGCTTCATATAAGACCAGCTACTGTCATAAAACTCAGTATGAAAATCATTCTGAATCTGCACCTATAGACAAAACAAAAAAAATTATAGATCATATTCTTTCCCCCCCCCAAAGAGAAAATATCTACTAGCTTGGTTTGCAGTACTTCTCAGCTCAGATACGGAGACATGTTAAGAGAGTCTCTGTGTGTGAAGTGCTGTCAAGTCACAGCCAACTTATGGTGCCCTGTAGGGTTTTCAAGGCAAGAGGCATTCACAGGTGGTTTGCCATTGCCTGCCTCTGCCTAGCAACCCTGGACTTCCTTGGTGGTCTCCCATCCAAGTGCTAACCAGGGCTAACCCTGCTTAGTTTTCAAGATCTGATGAGATTGGGCTAGCTTTGGCTTTTGTTGTTGTTGGTGTTCAGTTGCACAGTCGAGTCTGACTCTTCGTGACCCCATGGACCACATGATGCCAGGCCCTCTTGTCTTCTACCATCCTCCAGACTTTGCTCAATTTCATGTTTGTTGCATCGATAACCCTGTCTAAACATCTCATCCTTTGCCGTCCCCTTCTTCTGTTACCTTCAATCATTCCCAGCATCAGGGTCTTCTCCAGTGAGGGCTCCCTTCTCATTTGGTGGCCAAAGTATTTGAGCTTCAGCTTCAGTATCTGGCCTTCCAGGGAACTGTCAGGGTTGATTTCCTTTAGGATTGACTGATTTGATCTCCTTGGAGTCCAAGGGACTCTCAAGAGTTTTCTCCAGCACCATAATTCGAAAGCATCTATTCTTCAGCTACCCAAGTCTAAAAGAGTATACTGGCATTAAAAACAAACAAACTAACCATATGATCTATGCAATCTCTGTAGTATGATCTAAGTGATGCTAATCCAACAGAAAGATTTTACATAACAATACCTATCATTTTATGTTGTGTATTCAGTATTTACAGCACTTCTCCCCCAGAGGACTGAAGACCTTTGCACTCATCACAGGGACTTATGCATGGCAAAATCCCATTCCATTGCTTTCAATCAGAAATGCAGGCCCAGTTTATATACTGAACACATTCAAATGGGGGAAGCTTTTCCCAGTCTGTAATGGTTCAGATTGCAAGTGGACTATCATGTTTCATGCTTTCCCCATCTAGAAATATCTCTGTACATGCATAACTAGCATGTCAGATAAAAAGAATTCAGTGTAGCCTTCTCCCTGACACACTATGTTTCTGTGCTCACGGTCAACTCTGTGATGGAAGGCACATTCAGAGGTAAGTAGGAACCAGTGTTCCTTCTAAGCTGAGCTAAGCTCACAGTTTCTTAGCCTCCAGCTCACACATTTTTGTGTTAGCTCAGGAAGGATGGCCCCAGAGCAGACTAATTTATGCTGCAGCCAAATAATTCTTTAATGCCAGTAGCTCACAAAGTAGACATTTTGCTCACAAGACTCCACAGCTTAGAGGGAGCATTGGTAGGGACACTTTTTAAATGCTCTCCGAAAGAAATTTTGTTCCAGAATATTGCCATTCTGATCCTGAGTGTCCATGTTGAGGAATAAAACAGCATGCATATTCCTTTTTGCCCATTTCCCACTGGTGCATTCCATATTTGGGGGCAAAGTATGCATTTGGATATGCCCTAGCATTATGGAAATACTACAGAAGTGCAAATTGCAACACAAGTATGTATCCAAATATGCACCAGGGGTGCAACTATACAAATTAAATTCACAGACTATTCATTGGAAGGAGGTGGAATGGACCACTGGATGAAACTATGGAATGGAATCCAATGGAATGGAAGAAATGACATCCGCCCAGCTCTAGCTTCACCACTTAGTCCTGTACACAGAACCTGTGAAGGGACAAGCCAACCTTTGTACAGCAGGAGTCAGAACGAGCGTGCTAACTCTGGCCTTACTTGTGATCAGTCTGACAGTTTAAGTGTCACTCATTGCTCTGTTGTAGAATTCCAGGGCAACAGTCCATGTCCTGTGTATACTATCTAAGCAGGAAGGACAACATTTGCTCAGGCCGAAAGGCACTAGACCTTAAATCCTGGTTCAACCCTGTCCCCCAAACTTACATTCTACACTACACTCGAGTTCACCCCTGTAATTATCTCAGGGTATTTTTTTGTTTCCACATTACATTGCGGTCACCCCGGTTTCACCCCACACTTATCCTGGGATAAACAGATGCTGTTATAACCAGGGATAAATGCAAGGTATTGTGTCGCGAGTTGAACTCTGATAAAACCAGGGGTGAGATCTAAGTGCGGAAAGGACAACTGTGTGTGCAAAGATCCAAACCCAGACTCAGTACACTATCAAAGAGGGGATTTATCCCAGTGTTCCAGAGAAAGAACAGGGGGATCAAATCACCTCAAACAAGGCCTGAGGGGGTCAGGAGAACCCCGGGCCTTGTCACAGAATGCTTACCCAAATGTGGAGCACAGCACCTACATGTATACAAACTGTTTGATGTGTATGCGCTGTGTTCATGTCTGGGCAAGCTTGCATAGATGTGACGGGACCAGCATGCCGACTCTCTCCCCTCCACCTGGGTTGGCTTGTTCCTATTTGTACCATAACTCTGGTAAAAGTATACACTAGCCATAAACAGCAAGCAGCTTTTGCTGGATCGTGGCCATGCTCTATAACCCATCTGAAACCCTTAAGATAAAGCTGTATCACAATTACATTAACTTTTTTTAAAAAAGAATCCTGAAGGTAATTCTGTACCTTTAAAAAGCTAAGACAAGCATACCTGGAATGTGTAAGAAAGGACACTGACACTCTGGCGATAATAGTCTCTCTGGTCAACATTAAACACCTTTCGGCACTGGCCACCAAAACTTTTCGTATGGATGACTCTTCCTTTGGTTTTACCTGTAAGGGCATCAAAACTGCAAAAAAGGAAAGGAGAAAGGATACTGCACAGTTATCACATAGGCTGTAAAGCTCAAGGGAGTTAGAAATATCGGTTGCAATTGATATCAGTACAACTGTAGACTGTGGCTGACCATTCTTCTGAGCGAAAGGTACAGCCTTCTTCCAGTGCCACAAGACTTTCTCTGGGTGAATAGTCTATCATCTTTCACTGGTGGAAGAACTTCTTCTGCCAAAGAAAGGCTCCTTTCAACCTAGCAGAACAGATTGGCAGTATACAGGGTGTGCAAAAAAAATTTCGCCCCCTGTTTTGGGTCTATTGGACCCGAAAAATATCATTATTCCTGAATATTCCCGAATCCCAATATTGGCACTGTATTGGGATTTGGGTAAATATTCAGGAAACCCAAACTTATTCGGTTTCATTATACCCTATGGGGATCGTTCCACAAAGTATAATGAAGTTCAGAAGGCATTTAAACTTTTAATGCCTTCTGAGTTCACTTGCTGAGTTGCACCATGGTGGGAGCATGACTTGGTGACTTTAGAGGGCATTTAAACTTTAAATGCCTTCTAGCCACGACCAGTTAAAAGCCAAATAATATCAGCTTTTATTCGGGTGCAGCTATTTCCGTAGCTGGATCAGATTCTCTAATCTGATTAGGCTGAATAAATACCTGAATAAATACCTGAGAAATACCAATAAAGTATTTTTCAGGTATCTATTCAGCTTGGTATATACCGAGCACACAGCCCTATTAAATTTGCAAAAAATTACACACAGAACAGAGTGTAGTTTCAGAGGGTAGTCGTATTTGTCTGCAGTAAAACAGATGGATCCAAGTCCAGTAGTGCCTTGGAGACCAGGAAGATTTTCAGGGTATGAGCTTTCGAGGGTCAAAGCTCCCTTCGCCAAAAACCTGGCCTAAGACAGCTGACAAAGGGAGCTTTGACTCTGAAAAGATCACACTCTGAAAGTCTTATTGATCTCTAAGGAGTTACTGGACTCGAATCTAGCAGAACAGAGTATACTTCTTTAATAATTACGTTCTTGATTGGTAGACCCATGGTGCAGTTCCCCAATGCAACAAGTTACCTTAAAGAATAACAAAATTTTCCCCTAGATTGTGTTGACAGCAGAGAGCAAGTACCTGCTAATTCTAATGCATTTTCATCTCTATGGAAACTACCCTAGCTAAGTTTCGTTTTGACCTAAAATTAATGCAACATGAAGAACAATCGTGGCCAATCTACTCCCATTGGTTTTCTCTTTGTTCGTTCTGAATCGAGGTCAGCCACAAGATATATTTTTTTTAAAAACCCTGTAATTTGTATGCTTTTAATTAATCATCTAGCCTTTGTACTGAGGCCTTTGTAAATGCACCAAGAGTGAATCCACCACGCTAAGGCACAATAGTAGTTCATGGCCAGCCCTATGTGCCAGTCTGCTGAGATACTGGACACAAATCTAGCTGTTCTACTGCAGACCAAAACAGCTGCCCTCTGAAACTATCTGCTGAAATAGTTTCAGATCAGATATGGAGAGTCGAGCACTGTAAAGGGAACAACTTGCTCGTGCACAAATGTAATATCACAACCTTCAAAGACCAGGGATCCCAGTCTGGGGACTGAGACTTGAGACCTTGGAGAGCTGCTGCCAGCCTGAGTAGACAACAGTGGCCTTGACGGACCCATGGTCAGATAGATTCAATATAAGGCAGCTTCATATGTCCACATCACTGTAGCAATCAGAACCAGACCTGCTAACTATACCTCTCTAAAGAGAACCTATAAGATTGTAACTTTTGTATATAGCCTATCACAGGTGTGTGTAATGGGTGTGGTTGTGAACGGACATATAAGCAGCCTGTGGGCTAGCTACTGTATCTCTTTTTTCCTGAAATCACTTAAGTAAAGCATGAGCTGAAATCACTCAAGGATGTGTCAGTCGCAGTGCTTTAAAATGCCATAGGGCGATTCTGCATCTGGCATTCGCTCCACATTTCCTCGACACTAAGGAAAAGGTGCGGCTCAAAACCACACCCAAATACCCCAGGGCAACCCTGTACTGACTGAGAAGTCACCCCTGAATGGCCATAAATCTATGCAGAAGGTACCATTAAACCTGATGATGAAGAAAAGTGAAAGCGGCATACAGTGTACCATAAAATCCAATGATCCAAGAAAGTAAAAGCAGCATAAAATGCAGAGGGGAACATCTGTTCCAAGGTGGGTTTGGTAAAAGAATGGAGGGAAAAGCCAATACAGAATCGTCCATAGAGTCCACCCTCCAAAGCAGCAATTTTGTCCAGGGTCAGAGATCTTGGTCGTCTGGAGATCCACCATAATAGCAAGAGATCTCTAGACACCACCAGGACATTGGCAACAACAGGGCTTGTGAGGCTGTGCTTTCGTGACCCAATGCTGTGAAATCTATTTTGGTCTAGTTTGACTCCTAGTTTTCTGGTGAAATGAGGGTATGGGAGTCTTATGGTCTGTGTGTACTTTGGGAACAGGCAAACACTCAGACAGATGTTGCAGATCAGTTTCACAAAAGCAGATCTGATGCACTTGGAACTTGGTGCTGGAGATATTAAAGATGTCTTGACCTGGGAGGTGGAGCTACAGAGTTCACCCTCCAAACAACTGCCCTTTCGCCACTGGCTCCTCCCTGCTGGGCTTTCTAGACATCAAAGAGCTCTCAACCCCAGAAGAAAGAACTACAGAATTAACTTCGCAAAGGGGACTAATATATTAGGAGTGGGAGAAGAGGGGGAAGAAATAGACAAGAGTATGTTTTTCAAATGTTATGAGTTGCTTGAGGACTTTAAGAGCAAAATGTGGATAATAAATATAATTCTGTTGTTGTTCAGTCGCATAGTCGAGTCCGACTCTTCGCGACCCCATGGACCAGATCACGCCAGGCCTTCCTGTCTTCCGCCATCCTCTGAAGTTTGCTCAATTTCAAAATATAATTAATAAATACATAAACTCCCCAAGAGGAGAGAGATCAAAAATACCATCAAGGATTCTGTCTCCTTTTCTGGCAACCTTCTGACTTCAAAACAGTTTCTTGCCAGCCACCCCCTCCCCCAAAAGATTATATATTTCTAGTGTCCAAATATCTCCCTGTCATCACTGACAATTAAAGAAATCATCTTTAGATATTAAGTGGCATAGAAGTCCAGTGAAAAGGTAATCTTATTTCACACAGCCATAACATAATGTATGTCAAATGCTTTGAACACTTGGAATGTACTATGTAGATGTAAATAAGAATTGCCAAGGACCTTACCCTGCACCTGTCAGTTCCACATTAGGAGGTAGCTTATTGGTGTCACAAACCACCTTGGTTACCTCACATCGGTCTTCATCGGACCTGTCTTCCTCACAGTCATAATCTCCATTGCACACCAACGACCTGCTTATGCACAGCCCTGCGGGCATAGAGAAGATAGCCACAATGAAACAAAGCTGCCAAGAACCACCGCAGGCCCACAGAGAATGGGGTCACCACCCTCACACCTCCCATATACAACAAAACACCACATGAAAGCAAATCACACGGTGCGCTCAGCTCCATGGTCCTCAGTTTGACCAGGGACTCTGGAAATTTGTCCCCAAAGTTGTCTGCCCTCCATCCATTGCAGAGGAAGTGATCTAAGCAAGTACTCTGTTGTTTTGGATTAGAACCTATGGGTGGAACCTGAAGAATTCTTGCTGATAGCCCTGCCCTTAGTTATATACAGTCATAGTTGGGATCTGGTCCTTACTGAATCTACTTGTCAGCTAGGTATTGCCCAAAAAGAAAGTGCAAATACCACTTTAGTGATACATATACATTTATTTTTTTCCACCCCCATCAAAAATATTTTATTCACTACAAACTTACAAATAGGGTTCCCATTTGCCTGCTTATGTCAGGAGAGCTCTAGGTAATTGAGGCCCTTGCCTGTTGGTGCTCACCTGATTGGTGGGTGTAAGCTGGGACTAAAGGGCATGGTCCTCGTAGTGAGAACATTTCAAAAGGCCTCAACTACTTACAGGAAATTTTGACCATAGAGTTTCTGCTGATTTCTAGGACTACCCTTGTCCTTTCTGGGTAGCTCTAAGAATCACCAGGAATTCTATGTTCAGAACTTCCGGTTAAGTAGACGAGGCCTTATTTTTCTTTTAAATTTTTCTCCTGAGATGCTGCCCCCCATAACCCTCCCATGGGTGCCTGGCAACACTAGGATACAAACCATATCTTATATCCTGATCCAGAACCCAAGTTTGTATAAAGTGGCTGGCAGTGAATCTCCAAGGTTTCATGCAGATAACGGCTTTTCTGTTTACCTGAGCTCTTTAACTGGAGACGACAGGGACTGGACATGGGACATTTGGCATGCAAAGTGTGCACTCTAGCCAATACCCAATTTAGTAGTGTTATCCTAACTAAGCTTGCCAATCTCCAGGTGGTGGCTGGAGATCTCCCACTATTACAACTGATCTCCAGGCGACAGAGGTCACTTCACCTGGAGAAAATGGCCGCTTTGAAAGTTGGACTCTATCGCATTATGCCCAAACCCCACCCTCCTCAGGCTCCACCTCCGAAATCTACAGGTATTTCTCAACCTGGAGCTGACAACCCAGATCCTAACTGAGACTTGGGTTACAATTTGCATTTCTGCAGGCAGAAGTACTTCTGCTCATAGAGTGCAATTTCCCCACCTTTCCCCTCCTGTGTGAGCTCAAAATCCTTCCTGCAATCAGGGGTCATTTTGGGGGGGGACGCGGGGGACACACTTCCGGTGATGTCAGGGGGTGTGGCATATGCTAATGAGTTATGCTAATGAGTCCCCCTAGCTCTTTTTCTACGAAATGACCCCTGCCTGCAATCCTATTCCTGGGCATCTCCTGTGCCCCAGCAACAGAATCTCAGGGGACAATTTGGGCTTCTGCGGGAAAGGGAGGGGCCAGGAAAATCATGTTCCCTGAGAAGAAGTTCTTGAGTCAGGGCAAACATCAGTCACGATCCGATCCATTATAATGAAATAGGTTTTTAAGGTTAAATATGTTTCTGGGCAATTTGCTTCCAAAGAAATATCCATCTGATATGGTGCCGCTAAACATTAAAATTTAAAACAATCTTTTCAATTGACCAAATGCATGGTGACTGTAGCAGACCAAAATGTATTCCTTAATAGAATTATCTTGCTTTTTCGTATCTGCAAACAGACCAGACTTTCTATTTAGAACAACTCTTTGATCACTCATAATACAGCTCCTCAGACAGCCAGGCTTCAATTTGTCAAGTTTACCTAACCGGAGCACTTGCAGAAGCAGCTACATATAATAAAAATACAACCACCCCCAGGGATGCCAGCCTCCAGGTGGGACCTGGGGATCCCCTGGAATTACAGCTCATCTCCAGACTGCAGAGATCAGTTCCCCTGGAGAAAATGGAGGCTCTGGAGGGTGGACTCTGTGGCACTGTGCCCCATTGAGGGCCCTGTCCCCCCCTGGCTCCACTCCCAAATCTTCAGGAGTTTCCCAGCCTACATCAGGAAACCCCAGTGGCTGGGGGGGGGGCTGGCATCTTCCCTACCCCTCCCAGAAAAAAAACCACTACCACAAACTTTATGAAATTATAGTGGCTGACCTCCTTTGCTATCACCATCACAGAGATTTTGTTTGTAGTATATAAAAAGCCTTTTAATACAGTTTTAAAAACCCTAGACCCTATATGTTAATTTGCAATGTCTCGGCTGCTAATTTTGAATTTCTGAAACCTTTTAATCCTCCCCTTTTCTCCTCGGCCTGCTTTGCATTTCAGGCTTTGGAATCTTGGCCTGCGGTCCCTGCTTTGCTTACATCCCTCTTGATAAACACCTGTGATCAGATCTTCCCAGCATTTTTTGAAAGGTATGTTGCAGCCGCAGAATCCACCCCCCCCCACACACAACTGCATCAGGGCCACTGGGCAGGGAACAAAAAGTTGGTGCCTGTCTTATCTCTCCTCTGGGGCAAATAGCAGTGCAGAATGGGTGGTTTGAATCTGCAAAAGGAATGCTCCTTCCTTCCCATTGCAGCATGGTCTAAATACAAATGAGGTGGGGGAGAGCATGGCTGCAAAATACCTTCCAAAACACTGGGCAAAAGTCACTTGCAGAGTTGTAATGTACCGCCCTGCCCAGCAAAATGTGAACCCCCTCTCTCCAGCCTACGGAGACTTCTTCCAAACGTACCTGAAGCACATCTAAAACGATCGCCACAGCCATCCTCTGTTGGGCAGCCTCTCGTAGGAGTGCAGGTACGGGATTCGAATGACTCCCCGGAACACGGATACCCCCCGAACTGTCCAAACGTTGCTATTGTTCGTCTGCGAATCTAAATCAAAAACAATCCTTTAAAAGCACTCTGACTTTTGGCACTTGCACACTGAGCTTTAAGCATAAGAAGGACAGGGATGGGGAGCAAACTGTCACTTCTGTTAGCAAGATCAAAGCCTAAACCCTACAGCGAGGTGTGTTGGCATTCTCCACCACCTGATGGACGGGGACCGACGATTACATTTGCAAAATCAGTATGTGGATTAGGGCTGCCAGCTCTGGGTTGGGAAATACCTGGAGATTTTGGGGGGTGGAGCCAGGGGAGGGCAGGGTTTGGGGAGGGGAGGGGCCTCAGCAGGGTATGATGCCATGCAGTCCACCCTCCAAAGGAGCCATTTTCTCTGGGGGAACTGATCTCTGTAGTCTGGAGATCAATTGTAATAGCAGGCGATCCCTAGGTGGGTCTTGGGGAGGGGAAAGATCTCAGCAGGATGCCATGCCATAGAGTCCACCTTCCAAAGGAGCCATTCTCTCCAGGGGAACTGATCTCTGTTGCTCAGAGATGAGTTGTAATCCCAGGAGATCACCAGCTACCACCTGGAGGTTGGCGACCCTGATGTGGATACATCCTAACATACCTTCATGCTGCCACCAATGTTCCCTCTAAGTGGCGGAGTCTTGGGAGCAACAATTCTACTTTGTGAGCTCCTGGCATTAAAGTTGTGAGCGAGTCATTTGGCTGCTGCATAAATCAGTTTGCTCCGGAGCCATCCTTCCTGGGCTAAGACAAAAATCTGTGAGCCGGAGGCTAGAAAGCTGTGAGCTAGCTCACGCTAACTCATCTTAGAGGGAACACTGGCTACTACCACCAGTGTCGTGCTTATGTCATGAAGACTGCATTTAAGGCTGCGTTTAAGATTGCAGTGCTGAGAACACATGTCTGAAGCTCCCGCACAAGAAGGCTGCAGGGGAGTTCTCAGCCTCATGACCCCAGAGGGAAACAGGTTGTTTCAGGGAAACAGCAGAACAAGTGACAATAAAGAATTTGCAAATGCAGTATTTGCCTCACCCTGGATGGGCCAGGGTAGGCTGATCTTGCCAGAGCATAAAAGCTAAGCAGGGTCAGCTCTGGTTAGTCCTTGGATGGGAGACCACGAACTAATACCAGGGTCTCTATGTGGAGGCACGCCATAACAAACCGACTCTGTTCATCTCTTGCCCTGAAAACCCTACAGGGTGTCATAAATGGGCTTGACTTGATGGTACTTTGCACACACACAAACCAACTCAGTAGTTACTGCTTTATTCTCCTTTAGGTGCCAGGCAAAAACAGTTCTTTTTTTAACCCATGCTTTTAACAAAGGGATTCTGTCTTTTAAGAAGAAGAAGAAGAAAAGAGATTGGATTTATACCCCGCCCTTCACTCGGAGTCTCAGAGTGGCTTACAGACTCCTTTCCCTTCCACTCCCCACAACAGACACCCTGTGAGGTAGGTGTGGCTGAGAGAACTCTTTCAAGAACTGCTCTTTCAAGGACAGCTGTGCCAGAGCTACGGCTTGCCCAAGGCCATCCAGCCAGGTGCAAGTGGAGGCATGGGGAATCAAACCCGGTTCTCCCACATTAGAGTCCGCGCACTTAACCACTAGACCAAACTGGCTCTAGATGTTTCAAGATCTCCTCCTAACCTGATTATTGTCTTACCAATGCCACTTTAGGCTGCTTGATTTTATGTGCCCTGGATTGCTTTCGTTAGCTGTTTTTATTTCTAGCATGTTTTTTTTTCTAGTCATGATCTCCTCCTAACCTGATGATTGTCTTACCAATGCCACTTTAAGCTGCTTGATTTTATGTGCCCTGGATTGCTTTTGTTAGCTTTTTTTATTAGCATGGTTTTTTTCCTAGCTTGGTTTCTTTTATTTATCTTTTTATTGGAATGATATTTTTAATTCTTTTTACTGTGTTTGGTTTTGTTTTATTGTTGTGAGCCACCTCCAGCAGATCCGGAGAGGTGGCATACACATTTTAAATACCGAATAATTAAATGTGCCAGTCCTGGTAGGCCAAAAGGATTGCCAGCCTTCAGGTGGGGCCTGGAGATCTCTCGGAACGACAACTGTTCTCCAGACTACAGAGATCAGTTCCCCTGGAGAGGGTGGCCTCTATGGCATTATAGCCTGTTGAGGTCCCTCCCCTCCACAAACCCCACCCTCCATAAGGCTCCACCCCTAAATCTCCACCAATTTACCAACCCAGAGTTGGCAACACTATAGGTGGAAGGTCAAATGAGAAGTAGGGTTGCCAAGTCGACTTACCTGGAAAGCGGGGGGATTCTGGGCTCCGTCAGGAGTCTTCCTGCGCACGTGCAAAGTGCACGGGTGCCACAATGACATCACCAGAAGTGATGTCATTGCATCGCCCATGTTGGGGGCGTGGCACCATGACTTGAGGGAAAACCATAGAGTTTTCCCTCGATTCACAGAGTGTCCCCCCCACAACATGGCCAGCATGATGGTGTCACCTCCGGGTGACATCATCACACTGGGGATGCCCTCCGGCAGGGGGTAGAGTTCCCCCCGGGGCCCAATCCACCGCCGCAGGGTAACAGGCCTCCTGGGCGGGAATTTACCCGCACCCAGCGGGGGCTTGGCAAGTCTAATGAGAAGTGACAGAAGTAAATCCAACCTCAGGTTCTGTTGAGTAAGTGTGGGTGGGTGGAGGTTGGAAGTGCACCATAGTCAGGGGGAGGGGAGCAGAATCCCTAGTTTTCTATACTTTTTGACTTCAAATGGTTGCAACTCAAATTTGCCCCCCCCCCAAGAAATTACAGGACAATGAAGATGCCGGGAGATATGCTACTAGGATTGCCAGAAGGTACAGTTTGACTCCTGTCTGCAGCACAAACAGCTCCCGAAAGGCTTCATGGAAGAAGAATTTCAATTCATATGAGTTTAATCAGCCTTCTGTAGGTCAATTTACACATTCATATGCTAGGATTAAGTTGCTATCCTGTGCCTGCTCACTTGAGAGAAATATTCAGTGGGACTGACCATCTTCGAGTAAACAAGCAGAGGACCACACTGTTAATGCCACATTTGTGTATATATATTTTTCGTTATTCAGATTCATGCAAACCACCAAAACAGATTGTCCTTTTTATGATTAGAACTGTAAAAGGTATCCAGGGAGACATTCTTGCTATCCACTATCCATCTGTAGTAGAGGGATGCTATGAAATTTTGCAAATTAGCTGGCTGCTTTTTAAGATCATCATTTTGATTTTGCAATCAAATCTACGAGGTTTTTTGTTTTTGTCACACTTTCTGGTTTCGTGTGATGACTCATCTGTCAAATCTATGAGTTTTTCAGTTGCTGTGTGACAATAAACAATATTCCATGTGTATACATATGCTTCATATATACATATAACCATATATATGTATTAATATGTTGTGTGTCCACATCTATCTGTCTATAGATGACATACACTGAACATATAAATATTGTACAAATGGTGTTAAAAACACATCAAATAAATGAATGAATCAACAATACCAGCAGTGAAAGCGGATGGACTAAAACTGTTCAAAGCGACAAGAGGGGGGGGACACAGCAACCCAAAGGAATATTTTAATTTGTCACAGCTTTGGAGCTGACATCCTCCAGATGTCTGACAAAACTTAAGCCTATGTGTTTTTCCATCAGGGCTGCAAGTACTTTCTGTTCACATATCCTATATTATATTCTGTATTGTTTTTACCACCCTCAGCAAAGTCTGAAGCTTTCCTCGCGCCTAAGGGGTCTGCCTGCAACTTAAATGGCTTGTCTTTCAGTAGAGGAAAATTTCAAACTTAGCTGAGCAGTGAAGTGAAATCCAGGCCACAGATTCCCAAGTTTCTGAAGACACATTATGGCCCCGGTCAGACGTGCTGTAAAGCACGCGGGGCGGGGGGGAGAGCGACTATTTGCACCGTCGCGGTCTGATGTGCCACTATGCGATCAGACGCGACGGCAGCTTCCCCGCAGCAAAGAGGACAACGGGGGAGGAAGCCGCGCGCCGGCGCAATCACACGACGGGAGGCTCCCATAGGCGGTCCGTGGCAAAGCGTTTGCCACTACATACAATGAGGTGGTTCTTTACCGCGCGGCTTCGGCGGCTTGTCACGGGTTCGCCACGGGAGTGCTACGCCTCCCAGATGTTCCCGTGTGATCGCGCCCAGATACTCCGCGGGACTCCCGTGCCTTCAGCGGGGCAAATGCTCCATGTGAGCAGGGCCTACAAAAGGCTATCACCTTTTTAAAGTGTTTGATCTTCTCACGGCTTTAATGAAACATGGGGAAAGTTATGTGCTATGGCAGATGCAGATATATATCACGTAACTGAGTTGTATCGTTGAGGGCGAGGGCTGCCAGCTCTGGGTTGGGATGTACCTGGAGGTTTTGGGGGTGGAGCCTGGGGAAGGCGGGGTTTGGGGAAGGGAGAGCCAGTTTGGTGTAGTGGTTAAGTGCGCGGACTCTAATCTGGGAGAACCGGGTTTGATTCCCCACTCCTCCACTTGCACCTGCTGATGGGACCTTGGGTCAGTCGCAAGCTCTGGCACAGCTGTCCTTGAAAAAGAGCAGTTTGTGTCAGAGCTCTCTCAGCCCCACCCGCCTCACAGGGTGTCTGTTCTGGGGAGGAGAAGGGAAAGGAGTTTGTAAGCCGCTCTGAGACTCCAAGTGAAGGGCGGGGTATAAATCCAATCTCCTCCTCCTCTTCTTCTTCTTCATCAGCAGGATGCCATGCCATAGAGTCCACCCTTCAAAGCAGCCATTTTCTTCAAGGGAACTGATCTCTATTGTCTAGAGAGCAGCTGTAGTAGCAGAAGATCTCCAGGCAACCTATTGAGGGCTGGCTGAACATCACGAGAATGAGATGTAACACTTGGTTAGTCCTGAAGTACTTAACACGAGATCCTAATTTTGGAACATGGTGGGCCCTAGTCAGAGTTGCCAGCCCTGGGTTGGGAAATACCTGGAGATTTTGGGGGTGGAGTCTGAGGAGGGCGGGGCCTGGGGAGGGGAGGGACTTCAGTGGGGTATTAATGCCGTAGAGTTCTCCTTCCAAAGCTGCCATTTTCTCCAGGTGAGCTGACCTCTGTCGCCCTGAGATCAGATGTAATCTCAGGAGATCTCCAGCTACCACCTGGAGATTGACAGCCCTAGCCCTAGTTGGGACCAATGCTCCCTCTAAGCCGTGGGGTCTTGTGAGCAAAAATTCTACTTTGTGAGCTACTGGCATTAAAGTTGTGAGGGAGCGATTTGACCGCTGCATAAATTAGTTTGCTCTGGAGCCCTCCTTCCTGAGCTGAGACAAAAAAATCTGTGAGCCAAAGGCTAAAATACTGTGAGCTAGCTCACACTGACTCAGCTTAGAGGGAACGCTGGCTTGGTACACATACGGGCAATGTTTATAGTATACCTGGGTCTTATTGCAGCCGTCACATTCTGACCAAGGACCATACGGATTCCAGTTGCAATGGATTGCGGCAGGTCTGTCGGATTTTTTAAGGGGAAAAGAAACATTGTCAAGGACTGCAATGCAAAGGTCGGAAGACCAGGGAAATGAATATGGGAACAATGAAGTATAATGGGAGTCTTGCAGCAGACTTGTAGTAGTATTGACTTACAGTCTGTTTTGAAAACTACATTACACCTCCCTGCTAGGATTGCCAGTCTCCAGGTGGCAGCTGGAGATCTCCTGGAACTACAACTGGTCTGCAGGTTACAGAGATCCAGGGCTATTTTTGGGCAGGAACGCACAGGAACGGAGTTCCAGCTGGCTTCTGAGTTGGCCACACCCAGCAGGAACTCATTAGCATAACAGGCCACACCCAACAGCAGAAACTCATTAGGATTGGCTACATTAGGGGTGTGTGGCTGAACATGCAAAGGAGTTCCTGCTACAAAAAAAGCCCTGGGTTTTGACCACAAACAAGGTAAACAGAATAAGAAGCAAAAGGTGGGTGTGGCTGGATGACCACACTTCTGGTAACATGGGGGTGCGGCCTAATATACTAATGAGTGGTGCTGTCAGGGGTGTGGCCCAATATGCTAATGAGTTTCTGCTATTGGGTGTGGCCTATTATGCTAATGAGTTCCTGCTGGGCTTTTTCTACAAAAAAAGCCCTGCAGAGATCAGTGCCCCGGAGAAAATGGCTCCTTTGGAAGACAGACTCTGTGGCATTATACCCTACTGAGGCCTCTCCCTTCCCCAAACCCCACCCTCCCCAGGCATCACCCGCCAAATCTCCAGGAATTTTCCAACCCAGAGCTGGCAGCCCTGTCTCCCTCCCTTTTAGACTTGCTAATTCCAGGTTGGTAAATCCCTGGCGATTTGAGGGTGGAGCCTGGGGAGGCCACATTTAAGGGAAGAGATGGACCTCAGTGGGGTACAATCTCATACAGTCCAACTTCCAGAGAAGCGGTTTTCTCCAGGGAAAACGATCTCCGTAGTCTGGTGAGTCGCTGTAATTCTCAAAGTTCCCTCCAGGCCTTACCTGGAGGTTGACAACCCTACTCCCTCTCAGCCTTGAGCAGTCCGGTACATAACTGACAAGGCAGAACAATTCACTGACTTGACTCCTGATTAGGGTAGCCTATTCTAAACCAATTGTAACCTACAGTACTTCAATACTAACATCGTATGACATTTATTTTTTGGGGGGAAGCCCCATGGATTTAGCTGAGGCCTACTTCTGTGTAAACACGGGTAGCTGGAAAGTTGGGTACTTCCTTGTCAACAGCAATAGTTAGCCTGCCAGCCCCTCTTTCC